ATTTTCGTTTTTCTGTTTTTTTCTCCTTCTTCTTCTTCTTCTCCCTCCTGCTCTTAACTGTGTACCGGCGGTTCTAGGAGCTGTCATATTGCATCAGCGCTCTGCTGATTACTTCCACCTTGTCTCCCTCGTCAGGAAATGATTCTGACACGCACTCACACCCAGCTTTCTCTGCATCAATATGCGTGCGATGGAAAAACTGCAGACAGTAAATAAATAATGAAAGACGAGGCAGGGAGGAGGAGCGGCATGAGGAGTGGTGGTGGGGGGGTGGGCGGCGGAGGCGGCGGCGGTGACATTTTCACTCTCGTCTCTTCCTCTGTCCTCTGTGTGCGTGAGAGGCTCGTGGTGGGAAAGCGTTATGAGTAATTGTATGTATATGCAAGTGTTCCTGCATCGTTACAGCTGAATGTAAAATTTAAATTTCTAACTCCAAAACTTCTTGAACTTCATGGCTGAATGACATCTTGACGCAGTGTTTAAGTTAGAGCAAACCACACATTAATTTAGCTTTAATTAAAAAGACTAAATTAATTAGAAAACATTTTTTATCTCTGTTGTTCTAATTTCCTTAAGCACTACTTGATTATTTCCAACGTTCTTTAATTGCTTGTCTTCATAAATGTGGATCTTTTTTCTGGCAAGAAGTGTGCCAATCGTTCAGCAAAGGAGCATTTCCTGTAAAAAATAAAAATCCTAAAGGGATTATCACAGAGACGCTGCGTTTCTGTTGAAGACATGAAGAGGGTAAACACATCTGATTGACCTACTAACCCCTTGAACCCAGTGGCACGCCTGGAATCAGACGGACCTGTATTCATCTGAGAATTTGTTATCTGCGTGACAGCTGCATTCAGCCACTCTTCGTTTCCACGTCAGGATCTTCGGAGAGCCATTGTGGTATTTTAGTCAGGAAATCATCCATCTCTTTGTGGATGAAAAGGAAAAAAAAAACGCATCCATCGTAAAGAAAAGTGACTAATCTTTGTATCCTGTGCATTTCAACTCACAAAACAATTGTTTCATGTGCAACAATGGTCAGTTTTTCTTGATATTATTTCTTCATTTTACCGATAACATTACATCATTTTGTTCAGCAATTTGAGCTTATGCACTGTTGTGTTGATTGTCATTTCAGTTTCTCCTTGCTTTTACTACTGCATTCCTCCTTGTGTTATTTGCCATACATCCCTGTCAGCTTGCTTTCAGTTTATTATTCACACCTGTTCCTCATCTGCTCATTAGCCCCAGCTGCACTCACTCAGTAATCACCTCTCCCAGCATGCTGCGTTCCAGCTGTACTCTGTGGTCAGAATTTCAGAATGCCAAATTGGAAATATCAACAGGAGCAGTTGTTGTAAGTATAGTGTCGTAATTTCATATCAGGAAGTCAGTGAAACACGACTATACTTGAGAATGTGTGATGTCATTGTTTTAAGAATTTTTATCGTAATTTACACTACTTTTTAGCTATTGAAATCTATCATAAATGAGAGGTCATGTATGATGTTATGCATGTAATTCTTTTCAATTTCCACCAACCTAGGGGTTGGTGGAAAGAATTGCTAGGGGTCAAAAATTAGATTTTCTGGCATATTTGTTTGATGTATTCATGTTAATTAATAAGCATAGTCACTTTATGAAATAAACTCAAATTCAATTCAACAAGGCTGCTCCTCGCATCACAAGTTAAATTCTTTATTTTTATAATTTGGCAGTTCTGTGATTTTTACTTAATGTTAAAGAATTATAGCAATTATTATAGTATGTTTCAATGCTGTTTGAACACTCAAAATGCCGTTTAGCATGCTAATGTTATTGTTGCATTACTTTTATCAGAGCAACAAATAGAAACATTTTTTTCGGACGTTCTGACAAGCTGGAAACTGGAACGCTTTTAACTCTGAACCGACTTCAGTCCGACTTCACAGTTTCGAGCATTATACTTCCAGTTATTGTTCAGTCACGCTGTTTGTCTTCTTTGCGTCCCACAGTTGTCTTTGTATTTAGTTCTTACTGTTACTGAATTAATGTTTGATGTAAAAACTAACTTGACCCATAATTTTTAGTACTAAAGTTTGCGCACTTATTCTGTTTCCTTAAAAACCATCCGAGTTACTGAGTTTCATCATATACATATATATATGTATATATATATATATATATATATTTCTGATTTATTACAGCAAAAATGTCAATGGTCTCAGAATCTGGCATTTTTTAGAAAAGAAAAGGTAGATGAATAAGAAGGTGAAATAATTGGTACATGTTTTTAACCAATATAAATAGTGAAAAGTAAAGTAATAATTAAAAAATCCAATAGCTGTAGTCCTGCTTTATGTTTGATCTACCATACTTTCCTTACTACACTTTATCATGTGTACGGTTGTATTTTGGGATTAGGGATTATTGCTGACATTTTGGTTCTGTCTCCTAATAACATGTTAATCTCACAAAACAATTAGCCTTTCACCACCTGTGTGAATGTCTGACTGTGTGTTTTTCTTGCCAGCGGCACAGATTAGGCTGACTTCCAAGCACTCTGCCAAACTGGAGTGAGCTAACACACAGACCCCTCTGAGGATCATCTTTTATTTTAGAGCAAAACTTCACAACTTTACTTGTTTATAATCACGACACTTATTTAGAAAGCCGATTTTACTCTTCCTGAAAAAGTTTATGATGCAGACATTTTTCAACCTTATTAAAAAGACTGAGGAAATCTTGGAAAATGATTGTGAATTATTACGATAGTCAATTAAAATTTTATTAGAAATATTTAAAATATTGTTTTTATCACCCACTGCCATAAAATGTGGTCATGCCTATGTCTAGTTGTATTTTGGAAGCAAAACATCTCATACACTACTGCAGTGATTTTAATTCTTATGGGTGAAAATGCATTGGATGAATTGATAAACTTTTTGAGTCAACCCAAATAAAGATGGCTGCCACAGTCAACCTTAGGAATCCTAAAATGGTTATGTCAGTCAACTTTAATGGCGTTATGTTAGCTTATGGTAAAGAGTCAGCTTTAACACATAATCTGAGCCCAAACAGATTATGCAATTTTGCATTATTTAATTATTAGCATTCACTGTTAATGGGAAAAATTTGGCACTTCATTATTACTACTTTGAGTTTAGGTTCTAAGAATAGCACTTAATTAAAAATGAATGCGTATATAGAAGTTTTAAATAAAACTATAAGATTAAATTATGAATAATTATCGTAACATAGTACTACAGCTAATCTGAACTTGAGCTCTTATTTGGTTTTGCAGTAACAAATCACAATGGTCACGTGTTCTAATACGGGATGCACCGATACGAAAATTCAGCCGATATCGATATCCGATATAATTATTGGTGTTATGGCCGATAACCGTTATTTACAGATATTGCACAAACACACAAATTATATTACACATATACGCACAAACACACTTGGGTCTTTTTTGATACCGTAAATAAACAACCAGACCTCTGACATGGCTCCCTGCTTCAGTTATTCCTGGCTGCGCAGCATCATTATCACTATCATAATTAAATAGATGCCACTCAACCAACCATCTCCCCTCCCAAAACAGAAACACAAAGCTAAAAATTGGGAAATCAATATCGGACATTAATATTGGCCCCGTTTTACATGTCGGGCCTATACCATATTCTAAAAAATGACCAATATCGGCCGATACCGATATGAATGCTGATATATCGTGCATCCCTAGTTCTAATGTGATCATTGTGATTTGTTCCATGTAACCCCAGTTTTAAGTCCATCTTTTAGGTCTTGTAGGGTGGATTTTTTGTTTTGGAAGAGAGAGTTTTAGGATGACCTTCAGTTTGATGTTTATAATCTCCGGCTGTCTAATAATTTACTGATTCCTTCTGAAGACTAAGGGGTTGTCACATATTCTCACCACCCTGCCAATTTCCTCTAACATCCTCCTACTACCTGCCGAATCTCTGCCTCTCCCTTGTCAAAGCAGGAAACTGAACATTACCGCTGAGGCCGGAGGACTTGTAGGCAGAAGAAAAAAAAAACCCAGAGCAGGAGCAGAGTGGGAGGCAGGGGAAAGGATTAGAGAGGAGCTTGTCTGTGATGTTATTTAATCTCACCGGCCAGGGAGCCGAGGCGGCCGGTGCACTCCTGATGCACATTATCAACCTCTGATGACCGGCGAGCAAGGCTGGGCGCCTCAGACGCTTTCCCCGCCGCTGCCAACGCTGCCTCTGCAGAGCACTTGAAGCCGTCTCCCTGGCCGGCTCTAACCAGTCAGCAGCTCAATTTGGCTGATGGCAAGCGTGCTCAGTCAGGGGAGAAGTCGGTCCCGGATGATTTCCTTCCCCTCTTCTCTGCTCGCCCCTCCTCAGCGCTGACTCCCCCACCCCACCAACACACACACACACACACACACACACACACACACACACACCACTCCACCTCAGCTATCGTAATGCGCCTCTGTCCTCCCTCTCCTCCCCCCTGCTACACCTTCCCCCTCCTGCATTATTACACCCCCACACCTCCATCCCCCCATACTGTAACACCCAGCCATCACTCAGTTGCTCACGTTATCTCAGAAGCCTGTCTTGCTTCACCCTCCCACCCCACCAACCCATCCTCCTTTTTTTGCACCCCCCACCCCACCCCCAAGTGCATTCCAGCATGACAAACCACACGGGATTTCACAAGTCCTTTAAAGTCTGCTGCCTCTGGGAACCACTCTTCTTCATGCAACATTTTAGTATTCGAGGGAATACGTGACTGGGGAGGCAACGGATGCTGTTATATTTCTGCCGTCTCCTCTTGGTTGTTATTTCTGTTGATGCTTTCCAGCTCTAAGATGAGAACCAAAAAATAAAAATAAAAAAATAAAAAAAACAGTGGCTATCAGGTGATCATCACTGATTTTTCCACACCCTCTTATAATAAAATATTTATTTTTATTTTAAATTTTTGGTTTTACTAGATCAAGTATTTTCAGCCAAGATGTGTTTTACTGAAGATTTTTTTTTATTTTAACACATAAAAGCATCACAACAACAATATACAAATTCTTTGTAATCTTTAAAATCAAAACACATTTACACATGCAACAATAGGGTTTAAGACAATGAGAAACTTATTGAATATTATTTTTGTTGTTTTTGGAATGCCTTTATGCTACTTTTACAGTAGACAGGAGCACTATTTGACATGGCAAATATGTCTAATTCCAGATTTTATTGTTTTCACAACAGTGTACAATTCTCTCTGTCTTTTTAACAAGCTTTAGGGATCTGAACATAAAGCGAAACGACTAAAGATGTAATGGCCAATGTATGTTACTGGAGAATACAAAGTCGTGTCTGCGTATAAACATTTGGTGCTGACACAATTAAATGATGACCAATTACAGAAGAGCAGCTCACTGCACAAGACAATGTGCCCTGTTCTGCTGTGAGTCTGCTCGGATGAGGAACAAATCAGCACTTTAGTTACAGATGCACTGATGTCATTGTTCACATAGTTCAGATCTTCTGAAGCAAAAATTCTGTAAAACTGATATGGACAAAAGATATCTCACCAGTTGCAGATAACTCTTTAAATGACCTCAGTTGGAAAAAGTAACTAATTTCTGACAAGGTTGATGAGCTAATGGCTAGTTTAAGCGATGCCAAAACCAATACTAATTTGTGCCCTTTTTAAATAACTTACATCTCAGAAATTTCCCCAGTTTATTTTAGATTAGAGCTGTTTTAGGCCCCGCTCAGACTAACTGTCAGCTCATCAGTCCCATCAATGTAAAGTGTATTATAATTATAGAGAGCAGTGTCCAGTTTATGGGAGCTGCCATGTTGTATTTTTGGGACCAGAGCTTGCACACTAGGGATGTGAGGTTTCAAGTCCCACCTACTGCCCCCGCACACGACCATGGTGCTATATGAGCTTCTTTTGACATCAGATAATGGCAGGGTGATGGATCAGTTGTTAGCACTGATGCCTCGCAGCATAAAGCTCCTGGTTTCGATCCCTGGTTTAGACCCAGGCTCTCTCTCTCTCTGCAGTTTGTTAGTTGTTCTCATGGTTTTCTTCAATTACTCCAGTTTCATCCCACAGACACAGATTAGGTCGTAATCTAAATAAGATTTATTTGGTTAAATAAAGGTAAATCAATAATTTAAATTTAAAAAACTAATTACAGCAGTAAAAAAGTAAATATTTGAACATTATAAAGCAGGGTAAAAACTGTGTGAATCAACAAGAATCAGAATTTGAAATAAATATACGAGGTATTGATTTTTAAAAATGAAATAAAAGGATGATGTTTTGTTTGTGTACATAGATGAGGCAGGAATTAAAACTTTCAACTTCCAGGACCCTGAACGGTGTCCTGTATTATAGTATTCATGCCAATGATTATTCCAAACTAAATGAAACTCTTGTTTTCTCAGACTGAAGCTACTCAAAGAGCTATCTGCAACAGGTAAGACAATAACTGTTTATACATTTTCCCCCAAAACTCAAAAAAGATTCGAACCATCCCTTTATTATCGGCAGGAAGTTTCAGAAAACTGGAACATGACTCAATTTTAGTGAGTGAGCTGGAAAGATCCAAAAAGAAAGAATAATAAATAATGAACAAAGAATCGATTATTGCTCCAGGGTGGCGTGTGTCGCTTTTACTATCCAATCCTTGTGGCCTCTTCTGTTCAACGGATTCAGTGTGATTGCATGATTGTCTGTTGGAGTCCTTTACATCGGGTTGGCTGTAAACCTCACAGCCACAACACTGAAAACACATTCATAGACACCGAAAATATACATAAAGATACTGTCAAAAGGTACAATAATTACACTGAAAAGTAAATTACAGAGTTAAAACAACATCATTATGTGTTTGTCCATCTTTTAGTCTGTTTTCTTCTCGCGTCCTCTCAAAAATGTTCCGGGCACGTTGGGTTCAATGTGCCCGTGAAGCGCTCCTAGCTCAAAGTCAAGAGTCCCTGTCTCGTCCTCCTGCTGCTGGATGTGGGGTGGGTGGGNGTGGGGGGGTCCATGGCTCGCCATTTTTTTTAAAAGAACCACCGGAAAGCCTCACCGTTGTTGACCGGCGTCCTCTGTGGGAGACAGAATGTGAAGGATACTTTTAGTTTTGAGTTCATGTCATTGTCACGCCGTGCATTCCCTTAAGCAAATTGTCAAATAAGACCCATTCAGAAGTGAATTAATAATATAGACATTAAAATAGTAGGGACGTTAGGCAAAGGGGAAAAACCTGTAGGAGCACCTAAAACAGCTGTAAAATATGACCATTTTGAGGCCGTCCAAGGTGATTATATTCACGTCTCACCCACGCCCAAATAATCATTACGCCGGATGAAATATTCAGTACAAATTCCCATGAAGCAACAATGAGGCATTTAATTACTGAGCGCTCGAGCCGCAGCGAGGGGGAACAGAGCATCGTTTCAATTTGAGCCTGCACCAGCGAGTCGCCCCTCCTCCTCCTCCCTCTCCCCAAAACCTCCAAGCCAGTGACAGCCTCGCCTTCTAAAACTCATTTGGAAGTCAGAGACATGAAATACCAGAGTCTCCCACCAATCCCCATGACCAATTAGCACATTTTTTGTGGCTGTTGACAGAGAGGAAATGGTGCATAATCACAACTGAAATCACTTTAGTTTGAGTGGGGGGCAATTTGACATTTTAATACCAAGTGTCACTGGCGGATCCTTTAAGGAATCCTGATTAGGGTTTTTTTTTTCAGCATCCAACAGGTTCCTTATGTTTCCACAGGTTTTTGTCTTATAAAGGCTAGTTACAGGTCATTGGTTCTTTAAAACTCATTCTGACATATTTTTTTTCTGTTTTATAGTTTGTGATTTTTATAACAGTAAGGACAGAAGCAATAGTTCATGATTTCACTCAAGTTCAGAGGTTCAGGGTTCCACTCAGGGGTCTACATCACCACAGCTGTAGACGGTGATAATGAGCTAATTTGTCACCTTGAATATTGAAAAGGACAAGAACAGATGAAGTCTGAGTAATCTGACACTGTTTTTGTGTTCTTGTGGTTCCTGAGTGATAAACTGTCCAAATGTTGTTAGTAGCGAGAAGAGGCACGCACTGCACCGTGGTCTCAGAAATGTGGGCACTCAAACACTGAGAGGCCTACAGGTGAACATGGGAAGCTTTAATTATTCCCAGCCAAAACATTTTACTTTTTGTGTTTACCATAAACTTTGCACTGCATTGTGTGCTTGAGTTTGGGTACAAAGGTAATTTTAAACAATTATAAGGGTATGAAATATTTTCCTGAAATGAAAAAAAAAATTTAAAGTTATATTTCTTAAATATTAAATGCAAAACGCAGCTCATAACAAATGTGTTGCACACTATTAAGCAAACAAGAATCTTTACTGCAACACTGCCTGCTCATTATTTCTTTATTTATCTTTATTTTTTAATGGTATATTGTGTTTATGCTAGAAAGCAAGAAACGTTGGTAACACTTTCTTTTATGGTACTCTTAATGCCATGTAATTACAAGGTAATAAAAATGTATTTAAATGTAATTACTACCTTATTACCATGTATTTACGTGGTAATTAGTGTACAAAAGAAAAAAAAACTACGGTTAGTAAAATTACCTTTATTGGGTAACTACAATCAAATAACTATTCAATAGTAACTCAATACCATATTTATAACCAAAAGAATGCAACAAATTTTTGGGGTTAGTGATTAATTGCAATAAAATATAACTTTAAAACTGTCTAAATTACCTACTACTTATTTAGGTGTTACATAGTGAATTGTAATGCATTACCAGGTAAGTGATACATTACTGCAGACAATTAATTACATAGTAAAATTGTACCGTAATTACCATGTAATTCCATGGTAAAAAAGTAGTAATTACATTCAATTACCATTTTTTATTACCTTGTAATTACATGGTAATAAGGGTACCATAAAAGAAAGCGTTACAGACACTTTGAGTTCCGGTACAATGTAACTGAAATAAAATAAATAAAAACTCCAACATGTTATCAAAAAAGTGGCACTAGCTATTTCAAGTTTTTGTTTTGCATCTAGTTACACAGATAACACAGTCTGGTCTTCATTAGTGAGCATGTTTCAATCTAATCATAAAATGCAGGGAAATTCATTGTTATCAGCTTGTATCATTAATAGCAGGTAACCTTGTCACCATTTCCTTCTGGTTCCGAAGTGCATCTGGATAATGGTTAAGTTGGGTTTGATGTTCTCAGAACCTTGAGTTTCCACCTCTGGTGCAAATGAATTACAATAATATAAATCACCAAATTTAAACACAAACTGATAAAGCAGAGAGAAAACTTATTTAGATTGAAATAGGAAATTTTAGAAACAGCTCAGATCAAAATCCCAGGTAACAAACTAGAATAGATGACAGAGTCTGCAAACATACAAGTTGATTTGATTATACCATCAGCCAGCTGCATTTATTAAACTGATTACCCCTGACAAAACACAACAAATCATTTCCCAAGCTGCTCAACATGTAAGGTTTAGTGATCATGAATGCTTGCTCACTTTCTTTGGTGAAGCCATGTTTCTTTTAAAGTTTTATATGTATTCCACTGTCAACGGTTCAAACAGGAGCTCAGGTTCATCACAATTTGGACGCATACAGTCCTTTTATGTCTGTAGCAACCATTAAACATATATTCACACCACATTAAGCAATAACCATTATCCCTCTGAGTGAGTAATGGAGGAGCTCAGAACAGCAGGATATCATCATCACCAATTTAAATCCCAGAATGAAATGAAACACTATCGTGTTTTGTAGGGTCAAGATGTTCTCACACATCTTGCGTTGCCTCTTTTCTCTCTCTCACTCTCCCTCTTTTTTTTTGCCTAATGTCGATGAGCTGATTATTACAGTATATCAGTGCAGCTCCATTAATTTCCATCCATCATATTTTTCCTTCACAGTTCGGGTCTTCATTAATATGTTTTTGTGTGAGCTTTTGCTTTTATTGGGGGGGGGGGTGTTCAGGTGGCATAAAACAAACCTGAATGCAGTGTTATGGTTGTTTTTAATGTAATGTACAATCAGTTTAAAATGTGCCATACTATTGAGGGATGAACTTTTTCAACACTTAATCTTCATTAAGTCTATGTTCACACTGCATGTCTTAATGCTCTAATCTGATTTTTGTAGCTGAAGACGTGCAGAGTTCAGACATTTAGATCGAGATACATACGCCCACCTCAGTAAAGGTTGTATGAAATGTGACAAGACCATTCAGAGAGCAGTCGCTTTAATGAACATCGGCTATGGGTATAATTTAGAAAATCTGGGTCAGATTTGAAAAAACTATGTATTTAATTTGTCACATTCAGACAGTCATACAAAAAAAATAAACAACATGGGTTGCATAATACTATATAATACAGGCTTTGCCAGACATGATGAATAGTGCCAAATACTTAACCAGATAAAAAGTAAATATGTAGCATTTCAAAGGATGCAAATCAACAATCTTCATGCTTACCAAACTTTATTACAAATATCTTGTACTATTAGTCTTCATAGTATGTATTGTGGATGACTTTCAGCTACCACTGCACCAAATTTGAGCTCATTAGCTGTAAAGGGGCAATATCCTGTAAAATCAACTTTTTTGAGTTTTATATCATGTTGTAATGTTATACTCTCATAAAAAACATGCCCAGAGTCTTGCTTTGACTCATTCATGCATGTTTGAGAAATCCTGCAGCGTTTTAGGAAGACATGCTGAGGAGCCAAACGACAAGTGGGGACCAGGAACGCCTTTTGGGACCAGAAATGCCTTTTGGGACCAGAAACGCCTCTGGGACGTGTCTTTAAGCCGAACTTCCTCATGGCGGAGCACACCTCCTCCCCCCTCCCCACACACCCCACCCACGATTCTGCAGGCTCTCGGGTGAAAGTGAAAGTGAAACTCTCAACATTAGTTCTCACTCAGTGAAGCTCTTCAGATCAAAAATACCTTTGAGGAAATGTATTTTTAGATGCCAAGTAAACTGCATCGTAGAAGCCCCCCCCCCCACCCCGTCCCAGCGAGCGTGACCCCCACCCCCACACTGAAATGGACGGGACAGAAGTGGAAGGTGGTTTTTAAAGACACAGAGGCCAGTTTCAAGACGTTTAGAAGAGGAAGTGATGAGAAGATAAGTTTATTTTCTATTTAAATAGAAAAACAGCATTTTAATAACAGCCAAAGGTGACATAGATACTTTATTAATGTATAGTATTTAAATGTATGCCTGAGAAACACATAACATTGTCCCTTTAAACCTGACCAGGTCAAAGCCATTTATTGTTTTTTCTAAGGCTGATAAGTTGTCACAGCCATTTTTAAAGGAGTTAATTCTTGAAGGTAATCATTTGTAAAAAAATAAACAAGAAATAAGTAGACAAAAACATTCCCAGTAAAAATAATAATAATAAAGCACTGATGGGTCTGTATTATAAAACATAAATGGTTTTGATAACATTCTTATATGTCCTTTATTCTTACATTAGAGCTGAAGAGAGCAAACCTAGTTTTTTTCTATATAATGTGGACGCACACCTTCCCTTGCTGAATCCACAGGGACATTTTTAAGGCTTAAGCCTAGTTCTGCTTGTCAACAGCGTATTGCTCGGGGAACTGAAGCAAAGAGAAAAGCGAGCCGAGCTGAAAATGTTTATCTTGATCCATATTCTCACATTGATCAGTCCCTGGTGGAAGTGCGGCTCACCAGAGACAATAATGACCCTGATCTGGGCACTCGGCATGTCTCTGTTTTGTTAAGTTCCCACGTTATCGATCCAGTGGGGCTCTTGAGTGCTGCTTGGATTCACTCCCGGGCCATTTTGCCTCGGCACACAGCAGTGACCAGGCACAAAGAAGGCTCAATTAGCACCAGTTCTGCGTCCTCCGCTCCCCCACCTTCAATATCACTCCATCAACCAGTAGGAGGAGGGGAGACGAGAGGAAGAGAGCGAGAGAGAGAGAGAGAGAGAGAGTGAGAGAAAAACTGAGAACCTGAAGAGAAGGGAAGTGCTGGAGCAAGAGAATAATACCAAGGTTTTTACCTC